ATCTCCGAAACGTCGTTTTACGTTTTATATTTACTAGACGATGGATAATATCCAAGGAAATTTTTATTCATCAAGACCTGTTTGTTATTGGACAAATGACAATCGGAATGAGGAACACGGGTTCAGTTCCTGGTATAGTAATTTCACTACATAAATATTCCAAAAACCCACAGTCAGTGTGTCAGAAATCAGCCCTTTGGTGATCAGCAAGAAGATGTATCAACAAAGACGGTATTGTTACACCAAAATGCTATTATCAATAATTTTTGTTTATAGGGAAAAGAACACTTTTGAACTTTGAGACCAGTAAATAAGATTCATTGTCATCTAATTAACGTCTGCAGAAGCAACGTTTGCGTGTTTTGTGACGCATTTTTGTAACAGTGTTGTGTCGCTGTTCCAGACTGCCATTGTTACTGGGCGTAATGTTTGGTGCCGTGACGGCCATCTTGATAGTCACTGTTATGATGTGCTGGTTCTGCGCATGCTGTTTCTTCTACAAGAAGCGCCAACCTCGTGTCAGTGGCGGTCAGTAAAACTAATACAACATCCAAATTCACAGAAGGGAGGGAAATTTTCAGACCTCAAGTTGCAGGACTGTAAAATGTTGTAACGAACATTGACTGAGATGTAGAATGTAAGGTTTCGGAGGTCCTGTGGCTGGAGAGTATAAAGTTATTAAAAAATAATATATATAAATTAAAATTAATAAATAGTTTAGAACCATGTTTTAATTAGTGACATGAAAACTATACAGAATTTATTAATATGTTTGTAATGTTTCTCCAGATGTAATTTAAACATGCTTAGCATCAGATGGAAGTTAAATATGGGTTTCGCGTTGAGATTTTATAGTTTAAAGAAGGGAATTACCTTAAAAAGAGTTTTATATCTTCCAAATATTTTTTCGCAAAAAATTTCAGGATTGTAAATTAAATTGTAGTGACCTCTGTTGATAAGGTATTCAGAAGTTTTATGAAAATCATTCTGTATATTCAAAAATAATAATGAAGTGGAGGGCATAGGACACACACTCACGAGGAAGATGGTACTTGTATTTAGTTGTGAAGTGAAAAACGCGGAATTTAAATTAATTTGATTAGGTTAATTTTAACTCATGACGGAAGTACAATATGCAAAACATCTTGAATATTTTAACTGACAGTAAAAGGAAAGGTTACCATTTTAAGACATTTTTCGGTTTATTTTTATACTTTTTATACCCAAGAATTATCGATTTCATTTAAAATGTATTTCGTCTTAAAACCGCCTCAGTGTTGTTTGGCTCTAAGACGGTTTATACCTTCTTTAATGAATCCAAATTTTACATTCTTACTCGACCAAGGTGAATCGATTGATACTGTTTTAGTATCGAGACATGACAAGGGACGGTCCACAGATAAAACAGCATCACACGAAGTCTCATTTTACAAGTCCAATTGCTTCAAATTTATTACATTTAGAAAACATTTCTATAAATTTTGGTCTAAACCAAGAATGAAATTAAATTTTGGTTTTTAATACGAGAGCAATAACCACGTCGAACCTGGATATTGCCGTATGAGGCCGAAACACGTAATTTAATAAACATTTATACCGTTATAACAATGTGTGTGTATATGACATTTTAAACAAATATCAAGTAATTGAATTGTAACACATCGGGATGCTGCATTATAGAATCAAGTTGTTTTTGTATGTTTCTCTGAATTGTTTAACGCATATTTATCAAGAATAATTTACTGTTTGATGCAATTTTCGTCGTAACTTTTCATTTCTGATAATTGTCCACATGCCACATTAATATGGTTGGCATTTTCACAAGATACGACTCATTTCTTAGTAATAATTCATTAAAATGTGAAAGACTTTTAACGTAAATACGTCTATAAGGATGGGTTATTCGGCAAAAAGTGTAACGAAAAAGGGAAACGAAAAAGTGTAACAAGTGTACCTAGGGAACGTCGTGTTTACTCGGCATTGTTGTTACCAATAAAACATTTCATTACATTACATTACGAGGTGCGATCGGAAAGTTTCCAGACTGTGTCAATAGAGGGCGAACCGGATGTAGTACGAGCTTCTGCCTTTAGGGGGTGCGGCCTACATTCATAGTGAATCAGTGTGCCAGCCGGCATCATCGAATTAGCATTTGTTTCTTAGTTACGGGCGTTTTGGTAGTGCATTACACCGACCCTCCTGCGATTGCGGAATGGCGTGTGCAAAAAGGCTTGGCAGCGGCGCTGGGATCGTTGTGTTCACTGCCAGGGGAACTACTTCGAGGGTGATGGATGAATTTAATACCTGAGATAAGTGTACGGGTTTTTATACGCGCAGTCTGGAAATTTTCCGATCGCACCTCGTACATTACTTTACATTACATTTAGCTACCACAGACCCATCTTAAGCGTAACTAATTCAAATTAAATAAGCAAAGTCTTAATCAAACTTTACTCAATTGTAAAGGATGTATAAAGGAAATATTTAGAATAAAGCCAATATATAAACTTCCTTTCCGTATAGACGTATTTACGCCAAATTCTCCGGAACCGTGGTTCCACTGACAACTTTTTTCTAATACTATTGAGCCTATAATTATACTTATTAGTGTTATTATGTAAAGGATGAAGGCTATATTAGAAGTCAAGAAATTTGACGCGCTACGAGTGTGCTTATGGGGTTGTCCCAACTCATTTTTGACTTCGCCGCTAGGTGGGGGGGTGATTAACGTCATGGTGCCCTATAACTGATCTGTTACTCCCAGAAACTAGGATTTTAAACTACATAATTTCATTAAATATTCAATAAAATTATTGATACAATATTTTTATTTTCCGTCTATACACAAACTTAAAATAACTCCAGAGTTGCAGTTTACCGTCTCTTAATATCGGACACACAACACATCAATTACAACCCGATATAAAACATCCAAGTACAACCTCCAAACCAAAAGGAAGAGAAAAAACTTAAAATTAAACAAATTAAAATAAATCAATAAACGCAACGCAAAATGTACTACAGTTTTTAAAATATATTAAAATTGATAGACCTGATGATGATGTAATACACATTGAAACATGTCGTCGAATACAAAAAATGTAACATGATGCAGTGTCTACTGAGAATGTTATAATTTTAGAAAATTTTAAACAACATTATTTTAAGTTTGCGTATAGACGGAAAATAAAAATATTGTATCAATAAAACACAAACATGACGCAATTAAGATATAAAAAAAAATATTGATATTACGTGTTTTTCTTGGTGTTTCGTTGTATGAATATAAATGTTAGGGTGATAAAGTTGGAAATTATTTTTTATACTTGAAGGTACTGACTGCCCCTGTTTTCGTCTGAAGATTTTGAAAAGTCGAAAATTGTAATTATTTCTATCGCTGTATGGTTTTATTCTGAGGGCTTTCCGAATGAAGATTTGCAACTTTAACTCGCCCCACTATTATTTTAGTTCGTCTTCAAATAACAGCGTCCCACAAACCACTCCATTTATTCATAATTTTGTAATCTATCGTGTGATATACAAAACTTTCGAGAGGTCCTCTTTTACTTGGAAACTCCTGATGTGTTTTGGCTGTAGTTAGTCGATTTATTTGCATAGTAATGGGATTGCTTGTAGTTCTTAATTGCTGTAACATCCCTCTTAAAATTATTCTCGCCAGCTGACAACAAAACTCATGAATGATTCATAGAAACCTTGGCTTGTAGTTATCCTCATTTGCGTCACAACACCTGAGTGCAAACTTCGTTTTGAAGGATATACCATACTTAATATGGCAGTGAAGTAGAAGGATGTGAGAGATAACAAGTTTGGAAGTGTATGCATGGCTTAATTCTGGTGTTTTTATTTATTTATTTCTTCTAGATTTTCGGTTTATGTAAGATGAGTTTTGTATGTTTCGGAAAACGTAAGATTTATGGAAGATAAAATGCGTGATTAATTTTTATTTATTATATTCGTGGTTTTTTTTGTGCTAAGAAATGATTTAGTGAGTTTCGTTTGAAATATAGAAACATTAATTAAATTCTTCCAAACTACACATCTCAATATCCCAGAAGACAGACATATTTATATTTCAGTTGATGTAGTCTAGTAAGAATTACAGCTGGCAGCGGCCATGTTGTCTGAGGCACAAACACTGACTTATAGATGGCGTACTGGAATCGCGGGGCTCGGGATATTTGTCCGAGTTAACATGTATGACCTTGACTTCCGTCAAGGGAGTTGTAACCGCCCCAGAGTCCAATTTCGAAGTTAAAATACGCAGATGTTCGAATTAAAGTTGAGATGAAAACAAATCCAGCATAAATAAATTGCTATACCACATTTACCGAAAGTTTTTTTATCTGATAGGAGAATATTTTGGAAACTGAGCTGAAATTCGCTATGGGTAAGGTGGAATTATTATGGAGGAAACAGTATATCCGATCTGACAATCGTGATGTGAAGTTTTAGAGATCAGGTCGACAGAAACTTAGACGTCAGACCAAGATATTTTTGGGTCTTAACCCTCGCCACGCCAAGGCTGGGGGGGGGGGGGTCCTAAAATATTTACCCTCGTTCGGATACCAGTCTACCAAATTCAAAGTTGTATAGAATATTGATCACTGGTGCTCACTTCTCAACCTGGGATTGTGAAAGATAGATTCTTATACACGAGGTCTGACACAAAAATAACGAGACTGATGCTGTAACTTTCTTTGTTTATATAATTACAAAAATTAACTGTGATCGCCCTCGAAATAGTTCCTTTCGGAGTTGACACAGCTGCATACGATATTTCCACTGTTGAAGGCAATGCTGTTGATAATTTTCTGTAAGGATGTTCATGAGCTCTGTCGTTGATGACTTCAATGCTTGTACCGTCTCAAAATTGGTCCCTTTGAGCGTGGATTTGATCATTGGGAAGATAAAAAAGTTGCAGGAGGGGTGGTCAAACTGCTTCACAAACAAAAGGTCTTTGTGTGCTGGCGCGTACTTCTCACTCGTTCGCTTAATTTTCGAAGTAAAATGGCTGATTTACCGTCTGGCCGCTTGGAACCCACTCTTGCCATCGTAACACACTTGATATCAAATAAAACTGATTCCTCCACTGCTGCTACTTAAGCGATCAATTTTAAACTTGAATCACTGGTAGAGGATAGATCGAGGTCAAACTTGGTTTGTTTATTCCGCCATCACAATTATTGGTTGCCTAGTTACAGCATCAGTCTCGTTATTTTTGTGTCAGATCTCGTGTACAGTGGGAGGTACCCAAGGAAGACGATAAAGGTGGTACAAAGCACAACTGCGATATGATTCTTTTCAATCATATTTTGTGACATCTCGCCATTTCGTGATTTTAATTAAACCTGATCAAAATTTGTAGAAAAAAGTAATTCGCTTTCGATAACATATTTTTGTTACAGAAATTGTTCGTGTTACATATTTTGTCGTAATATGTGTAATTTGAATTTAAACATGTATTTAAGTGATATCATTAATTATAAAGCGGAAGAAAGTGTTAATGCATATTGCTGGAACTTCAGCTACAAATTTGTTTTGAAGTCGTTACAATTTCTTTGCAGAGAGTAAATAATGGTGTAGTGGAGATGCACGGGAAATTTGTTACTCGGTACATTTTCTTGCCGCCAATTTAAAATTATTTGTGATGTAAAGTAACCAAGTGAACTTTCTGTTTAATGGTTAGATATCTCTCACTTCAACTGCACCAACCGCAGCTGGAAGTATCACACGCCTCACTTGCCTCACAGCAACACCCGGTTCTATCCGTTCATTTGTTTTTCCCCATTCGGATTGCGTTTTCATGTTTGAATGTTAACGTTTATTTTGGCGACATTTTTTTTCTACTACAGCTCGACTGCCAATGTTCTGGGCTGTGACGCCGTGTGGCCTCGTAGGTAAATACTAACGTTTAGGCGAAACGTCTCCATATTAGCTCCGGAAGATGTCTCTGTCTTCCAGGGCTATATATTGAGGTTATGTTTCTACGACGGTGTCTACCTACGAATTCACACGGCGTCACATCCCATCTCCGTCACACAGCTCAACTGGATTAAGACACAAGTGACAAGAAGGCACCCGGATAACAGAAGGTCCGTGTTTAGCCAGACGGAAGTTCATCTTGTATGTATTTAAACAAGGTCTGTTTTCGTTATATTAATGATGATAAAAAATTCAGGCCAAAACATAAATTGTATGTTCAAATTATGTATATTATTTCGCGTTTTCGTGAAGCAGAGGACGGACTGGATATAATTAATGCACGATCAGTCACTCCTCATAATTATTGTAATGTCGCCATGATAGTCCCCAGTTTCAGAACTTTGACCTGAATGACATCGGTCGGTACAAAGACGTCTTCCCCGCTGTTATGAAGGATTATGGTTACCATTCGATAGAGGGGGAAGTAGCTCATTAGTCAGTTTCCATGCATTGTCTTCCGTGATAGATGAGAGGATGAATGTCTCATTCATGAAAATAATGTAGCGCCCTAATTACCGTATTTACTAACATTTCTGAGACAGTTTACCCCCATCTCGCGAACTCTAATTTTTCTCCAATTTTTATAACGTTTAAACTATATTTGTTGCTTTCCTAACAGAGTGTAAGTTTTTGACCTTGGTTGTCAATGCGTTCTATGGGGCTCATTAATTGTTTGTATAATGAGACATACGGAAAAATAACGAATGTCTATATTTTTATGCTCTTGTGGCTTAACATATTTCTTGAATATTTTTCATCACAATTTGATCTCATTTGTTTCCTCCTCTTTCACATAGGCTATCTGCAAACACTGTAGATAATTTTTCTGATCTCGCTATGTAATACTTTTTTTTTCCTTTCTCGCATTGTAACCGTTCTCCATGCTAGCCATAATCAATATTAATCAAAAGGACAAATAAACCAAGCCGATATTTTTTGAAAAGAATGTACGTACGTTCATGATGTTTTGTCTCAATGCATCTCATCAGTGAACACACCGTCTACGTGTTCTACTTCAGTTATTATTACAAATAAGTTAAACACTTGTATGAAGTAAGTTTATTTCCAACTAACCTATTTGACACCTTACATTCGCCTGCTCGCAACATCGCCCATAACCTCTAAATCTCGTAAGTGACAAACCCCTTCTACCAACTACCTGACCTAGCAAAGCTTTATGGTTGCCAAGAGGTTACAGAGTCCCCTCAAATGTCAAAAGAAGGAGGCTAAACTTTTAAAAATAACGAAGGACGTCGTCATAAAAATGAAACTGACATCGCAGTCCAGGTTGAAAGAAGTGGGCATGAATCATGGTACGAGGCAATTCTCTTTGTTATTTAATGATAGCATTATACTTTAAATGCAAAACTAAATGATAACTCGTAAAAAATCAAACAAAAAAATTATGTAAGTTAGAGAATTTTAACACCAAAATAAATAATTTTGTATATTCACTAAGTTTCTTAATGCATAATTTATCTCATTTTCTAGAGAGGCAAATTATTTACCTTTACCATTATTCCATGTCACCTATATTTGACTTTGACATTAAAAAGTGCTAAGGGTGGAACCTGGACACTCAAGAAAGCACTTGGATGTTACCCTGGGCCGTCCTGGGTCAACTACAGCCCTGGAAGTAATTATGAATTGGCCAAAGAATCTAATCCGTGATAGCTGATTGATTGCTTGATGTCCTGTCGCTCTTAGCCAGAGCATAGGGCCTCGACAAAGCAGCGGCAACGAGTTCTATTACGAGCCAGAACTTTCAGCTCCCTCCAGGTCTTTCCTTCCTTCTTTGCCTCCTCTTCAGTGGTTCTCCTCCAGGTTGTTTTTGGCCTTCCCCTCTTCCTCCATCCCTGGGGATTCCAGGAGAGTGCTTGCTTTACGACAGTGTTTTGGTCCTTCCGCAGGGTATGTCCAATCCACCTCCATTTTCTGCTCTTAATTTGTGTGGCTATTGGCTCCTCATTTGTTTGTTTCAAAAGGTCTTCATTTGTTATGATGTTGGGCCAAAACACGCGAAGGATCCTTTGGAGCATGATAGCTGAGAAAGAACAATATATTAAAAACTTTGTGAGTAACAAATACAACTACACAGCATTTCATTTACCAGAACAAATGTGTGACACGGGACATATTTTAACACCATCTAATGCAGTTGAAGATACTGACATTCCTTCCTACATCTTCTTGACAATGGTGCTTGATTAAACATGCAGACATCTTTACCATAATCACATTTATTATTAGTATGTAACTCCACTTTATCTGCTATATGTGCCTCCTTCTCTTTCAAAAATCCATTCAATATATATGCCATAAACATTAAAATGTGGATATGAGAATTCAATGTAAGGGAAATTACTCTGACTTTATTCTTTGCATGTTATTTTTAAGACACAAAGTTTGGGACTTTGTTCCACTGAAACTATATGTACTGCTTGTTTTACAGGACCATTATATCGGATGCACTGCTCCTCTACAGCTAGTGGAGTGGCCAACATGTACTCATTTTCAAATCCAAATAGTTTGGCCACTACACCGTTAGACTCTGCAGTGGCTAGCTCACGTCTTCTAGTAGATCTTGAGCCGGTAGTTGCTCACTCTATAGTACCAAATGAGACTCGTAGTATGATGGCGCGGGGAAACACATTCTCAAGAGAAGCGTGCTCAACTGGGATGGACCTACATGTCAGTGAATTAGGAGAGATGAATGATAGGGTACCAGGAACGGGAACGAGCGTAAAGTCACCAGGACCACCTCTGTCTTTCAGTTCTTCAAAGGACGAGCAACACCAAGACACGACAGTGAAGGGTCTCAGGTGAATGAAAATTATTACAACACCTGGCAAGTATGTTGAAAGAAAACTCCACTCCCACCCCTGATTTTGATTAAAGAGAGGAATTGTTCCATCAGATGTGTTCATTCAAATGCCCTATGAGAGTAGCGAGGTCCTTCGTTTTCTACGTACATTAAATTTACTGAGTTGCCTTCCCCTCTATCTTGTATAAGTCTTGATTAGCCTGTTTTTTTTTAAATCCAATTATCTTTTATACTAAGAACTTTTATTTACAACTGTAAGGCAGCGAGGACCTCTGAAACTTCGATAAACTTCGACCACACTACATGGTACAACAACCCAGAAGACAGCCATCTTCAAACTCACCATCGTGAAAACCTCAGATTCTTCATCATTACTTTTCCTTTACCATGTGGTTGCGATTTATTAAATAGCATCAGTGTCCATTATCTGATCTGTATAGGAACCTCTGACCCTTCAAACATATTCACTGTGAAAATGGGACTTGCAATGTTCACTAAAATGTTTGAAAACTTTCTACATCTTTAAATCCAAAGCCATACACAGGAAATAATCTATAAAATTTCTGTATTGAAATGTGACATTGAATACAGTTTAAAGCCATGTAAGCAGTAATTGATTTAATGTAGTGTCAGTGAGAACAAGAATACAATAAAAATTACTTTCCATAATTTTTCTCAATTTTTGCCCATCACATGCCTGAAAGAAGCCTTATATTAATGAGAGCCAGTTAAATAATTGTATAATTTAACTACCAGTTAACCATAACTGAAGCAGATATTTATAATTGAAATATATGAAAAATTCTTTTCTTGTGCAGTCATGGAACAACCTTCAGACAGCAGATATTCAACCCTGCAAGGCCACTACACACATCGACCAGTCTAGAGTTGCAATCATCGCCATGTGTGATATCAGAAACTCCTATCTGTGGGACAACTAAGCTTGAACCACAGCTTCCATCCAGTACTTTCACATTTACAAGTACAGGCGTAACCACAGCTACGTGTACGACTTTCAACCCTTCGTCTACCGCAAAGCCTGCAGGAAGTATTTCTCTTGCTGCTCAAGCCGCCGTTTCTGGGGCAGGGCCTGTTCTGCTAGCGGCATCTAGCACACCATTGGTGACAACCACTGACTCGAGAGAACATGATGCTCTGTATCATTCCACAAAGTTCTGAGGGGTATAATTTTTATTTTATTTTTTATACTGCAGTCGACTGTAAATTACCGTCATAATTATGTAATTATTTAATTTATATTAGAAACAAGTATTTTACTTGTGCAATGACGCGTTCTGTATCCTTGGTTTGGGCCCGTGAAGGATCTATGAAATGTAAATAAATTCTATTATATTCTGAAATTTTGTACAGGTTTAATTAAGTTTGTCAGCACTTTAGAATTGTTTCCACATGTCTTTGTTATTATGACTTATGTATTTTAAATCAAAAACAAACTACTTACCAACACCATTGTTCAGTGTCTTCCATTAGCAGTTTGAGATATATTCAGAATATCAAGTTCTCTTATCTTCTGGGACCCAAAGATTTATGTTATTACAATGTTCGCAGAAACTCACCAAACGATCAAAGACTTTGCCCGATTTGAGGCTTTGCCTTAAGTGTGAAATTAATAAAACACCATTAATTAAACCCATAAACAACTAAAAAGACAAGATATAAAATATTTTCAGTTATGTGGTAAGTTGTTTGGATAGAACTGAATTTTTGCATTATGTAACACCAATTAATTATTATATTACACTTATTCACATGAGAATAATAATTATGTAATGAATATCCAAAGTGATCTAATAATTTGCTTGTTTGTTCATATCCACGATTGAAAATCTTATAAAGCAGCTCCATTCTTCTTGATCTTAGTCCGTGTAGTCTGGGTAGTTAGTCATCCTCGGTGGACTAGTGGTTAGCGTGCTTGCCACTGGACCCTAAGGTTTGTGGGCCAAGGATGATGGATTTTTAAGGGTGATAAAAATTAGTAGTTGGAGGGGAAGTAAAGCCAGTGGTCCCATGTCGTAGATTTACGGCACGTAAAAGAACCTTATGAACATGATACGAGAGGATTCGTAAGCAAAATTCAGTGGCCATTTCTCACCCAAGTCTCTCCTGATTCACTACTAGATGGCTCTAGCAGACAAATCAGGATTGAGTAGAAATTGTGCAGAGGCAGTGGGCTTCGTCACTTACTTCTCATAAATGCGCACTTAAGAGATAAAGGAACCTCCCACATGGGAGGAGGCCAAGGCTCGACTTCAGACTGTTGCGCCATAGAAGAAGAAGAAGAAGCAGTAGTCTGGGTAGTGATGTCATGTAATATTGTGATAGATTAAGGAAAGTTCTTTTGAAATGTTGGAGGCTTGGTGATGAATGCCAAGAGTGTGTTCATCCCTGATCCTCTGACAACTGCTTTTGATTCCATAAGTGTCTTACTTTATTAAAAGGTATTCATTCAATTAAATCAAAAGTGATTGGATAAAACAAGGAGGAAATATGAACATGCAATTAAAATTAATCTAAGTTAATGCGAAGTGTACAATATCTGAAATGACTAGGCAATGATTGGAAGAATATAATAAGTAAAATAAAAATAAATGAAGTGAGGGAACCGGCCAAACGAAATCACAGGGATAATTTGTCCTAGAGGTGGTTTTAAACATTAGACCACAAGGAAATTCGAAATACGCAGACAAAATGGAATGGCAGTGACCACCTTCTAGGCCATACTAACCCAACTGCGTGTTGGCCTGGTTTCCTGTTGCTGGTCTGAAAACAAACATAGAATGGAATCTTTATCTCCAGCAAACCAGCCACAACCAACATCTGTGAAGAGGCTAGAGCAGAGGAAGCAAAAATTTCCGGGTTGGTTTTGTCATCTGTGAGTGAAATTCAAACAAAACTTTCTTTAATGTCCTGCATTTAATTAAAATAAGAAGAAGCAGTCAGCGATTGTTGCTTTGTTGAGTATAAAAAATAATGTTAGAAAACAAGAGATAACAATGTAAAAAGTTTAAACAAAAGGTAAAATAGTTGTATATTATTTAATTAGCAATTACACAACAGGATACCTTAAATCAAGATTAACTGCTATCCTGTTCTGAATTTGTCCTGCCTTAGTTTCACTCACTTTTAATCTAATCAATAAATTTCACCTTGATATTAGTAGCTTTAGCATAAGATGTGCAGAAAATTATATAACAATGCAACTGCCTCATAACACTATTAATCAAACAGAGTGGGTAAATTTTATTGATTAATCCATTTAAACCAATTTTTCATAACTATATTATGCTATCGTGAGTTTGAATCCTTTGTAAAGATTTAGATTATAATTCAAATTGTATTTTCAGTTATCTTAAAAGAATCATATACCATTCATTTTTAAAAATGGATTTTGTTAAAAGTAAATTGTAGCCAGCCTATGTGTATTTCATTGACAAAAACTGTTCTTATTCTGAAATGTTGACAAACTTAAATATATCGTTTTGCTTATGTTTTATTCTTGGTGGTTGTTATTTTTTATGGCAGTAATACAATTTAATACTTATTTAGGATGTTTATACTATTAGCAGTTATAATTCTATTGTATCAAATTAAACAAAACAGTATAATTTATTGCATAACACATTTAACAAAACCAATTATATTTTACTGAAAAAGATACACATTTTTATATAACAAAGTTCTGTCCAAAAAGTATTACATAATGTGCTATATGTTTCTTTGTACCAGCTTTTAATGTTAGCTCAATTGAATTTATATATTGCTAGGGAGAGTAAGTTGTATAAATAACCAAGCTTTGAATAAAAATTAAAGTACCAGGGGAAAAAAACATTTGTTCTGTTAGCAAAAGCCATTCAAAATTCAAACGTCCAGTTTGTAATATTGTGACTGAAAGAAATTTCCATGTTATGGTTAAAGAATGAAATATTTTCTTCACATATTTCGATGTAATATTATTTGTGCAGGTCCATATTTATATTATCATTTCTTTTTAATTTAAATTTGTAACATAACTAATATTCTTCTTCTATGGCTCTCTGGTCCGTATTCATTTTTATGGTGCAAGGTTGTTAGCCATGCAACCAACCCCCAACCTGGAGGACCAGGGTACCTGTCTTAGTCTGACCTCTCCCCCTCGACCAATCTGGCTAGGGAGGCCCTACCAGTAGCTATGCTACCACCAGCATAGCTCTTAAAACAATTTAATGTCATAGTGAAATTGTTGGTACTGCTGCTTCAAATATGGGACACTTAAGTTTGACTATTGACCTGAAGACTGCCTATGGTGTTTTGTGATTTTTCTTTGTCCTTCCAGAGTAAGAGCTGGTGTAGCGCAGTCAGTAGAGTGACTGGCTACAAAATTATTGGGGATCATCAGAATGGGTTATGACATAATAGGTTAACTACTGGTCAGATTTTTTATACTTTGTAGATACTAGAGAAAAAAATGAGAGTATAATGAGACAGTAAATCAGCTACTCATAGACTTCAAGAAAGCATATGATTAAGACATGTTTCCTATTCAAAATGGTCTAAAACAAGGAGCTGCTTTATTGCCATTGCTTTTCAGTTTTGCTTTAGAATATGCAATTAGGAAGGCAGTGGCAAAGTTCAGATATCTGGGAGTGGCGGTAACAAAATTTGATTCATGAGGAAAGTAAGAGTAGATTACATACGGTGATTACAGTACTTGCTACCACTCAGTTCAGAATCTTTTGTATTTTCATCTGCTGTCTAAAAACATTAAGATTAAAATATACGAACTACAGTTTTGTACTGATGTGAAACTTGGTCTCTGACACCAAGGAAGGAACGTAGACTGAGGGTTTTTGAGAACAGGATTCTTAGAAGAATATTTGGACCTAAGAAGGATAAATTACAAGGAGGCTGAAGAAAGTTGCATAATGAGGAGCTTCATTAAGTTATACTTCTTACCAAATATAATTAGGAGTTTATTGGCTTGAAACTAGTTGTTCAGGTCAGCAATGACATCATTAATGGAATTCTGAAAGTAGCTGCTATGAGGATGATAAACAGTAATACTAATATTATCAGCTTAGAGTATATGCTTAGACTGAAAATTTATTATTTGGGGTAGACTATTGATATCTACGAGGAAAAGAAAAGGACCAAGTATTAAATTGACGTTGCCTTATCTGTAAGCCATCTTCTCCAGCTACAAAATGAGATAAACCATCTTAAAATAGTAAATGTGATGTTATAGTAATGTAAAAACACTGCTCCATTTTTGTGCATGTAGCACCAATACAATGACTGTCTTTACTATTTACAAGAGACAAGTAATACATCATATGCTAATAATTTGCATTCTCAGTTAAAAACCTAAGGTGGGGTCGCTTTATCAATTGAGCTGCCGGTGCCGGCAGAATGAATTACTTTCGGAGGTACATTGCCACAAAGGTCTGTGGTTAATCGTCTTAACGATAGCCAGCCAGCAATTCTTTTTAAACCGGGTACGTTTTACCCGGTCAACTTCGTGTGAGAGTACAACATATCCCCTCTTGATTGTGCTGTGGTGACTGTAACGTTGTTCTGCTTCGATCTTAATGTCTTAGAGATGTGGAAATGTCGGTCTTGCAGATGTTTTCTACCAATTTTGTGACCGTGTACCATGGTTTATAATTTGCCCGTGTTCAGTTTTTGTTTCCGTTGTATGTACAATTCCTTCGACATTGCCTCTTTTTTTGTCATCTTTGGTCTGCTATTCTGTTATATGGGTCAGTAGTTGGCAACAGTATGTTATTTCGTAGATTGGTAGTGGTGGTTTAACCGTGGTTACGTGCGTGTTCGGAATATGAAGTTTCTCTGAACACTGCCAACCACAGCACCTAATTTTTCAGGTTTCAGCAATACCATAATCGTGATCATAATATTGCAGCTTTAAGTTTGGATGCGAGCTTATGTATGTTAGAGCTAACAGCTAATGATGGGTAGACAGTTGTAGTCCCTGTGAGTTAGTTGATGAGAGAGGAACATGGCCGATGTGTGTGGTGCTGCTGTATATGCTTCAAAATCTTCTCCAACTGTGGTTTCAGATAGTCCTATTACAGATCCAGGATCAAGTATAAAGGTGTGTGTTTATTTAATGTGTTTCAGAACTAATTGTTCCTATTAAAGTACGTAATGTATTAGTATTCGTTATTACGGATTACTTTGGCCTGTTAACATATTGTAATGCCATACAGTCTTAAGCGTGATGAATTAGAGACGCGCAAGCCGGGAAAGATTGATTCCCAGAAACGTTACCTAATCACCATTTATGGATTTAGAAAGGTTCTGTCCTTTCCTTTCATTGGATTTTGTGGCAGGTCCTAGAAAAAAAAGCAACACCTTTAAAACGTTTTTATTGAAAACGTGACGAAGTGACATATAAAACTTGAAATCATTACATATCCTTCCATAATTATGAAAAGGTGCAAAGTATTAACACACATACATGTGTAGCTATGTTGTATAGAAGTACATAGCAAACGTAGATCATAGATAAGTGAACAGACTTTTGTTTCAGTACATTATTTCTGCAAAGCATATAAAAATTAAAAGTAAGTAATGTGTAAAAAATAATACCATTTTATATCTTTGCTTGATTAAAAAACTTAATACAATTAAATGTAGTGAAATCTCAAATGTAATCTTACATTGAGGTTGTAATAACTGTGCTGTGTTGTATGGAAATATATGTGCCTCCTGTAACAGCAAATGATCACTATACTATGGTAGTGATTATAACACAAATTTCTTAATATTATCACATGAGGTACAAAATCCTTTAACCCCTTCCAGTTTATCCTAAGATATCTTGCATTGATGATTCTTACAAAAAGAATATTAAGTTAATTTGGGCTAATATTTTATCTTCTGCCCCAAACTGTAAATCTGTAAATGCATATATTAGACTCTTGTTATCAGTAAATGATAGATTGGTGTACTTTCATAAGCCATGTGCGTTTATATATTTTCACACAAGAGCACACATGAATAGAGGGACTTCTGTTTCTGTAGCATGTGTTACAAGTTTCCGGTCTAGCTGCAGTAATATTTGTGTGCTGTGATTTTGATGAAGCTGATTTTTACAAACAATGGAAATTGGTAACTAATTAAACAGAGATATGTAATGATTTTAATTCTTTTGTTATGCCACATTACTTTATTTTTATTTTTATTTTCATTTGATGCTTTGTGGAAACAATACAGTGAAACAAAAGACTTCACTCATGGCCTGCTATATACATCCACTTATATACAATGCAGCAATATATATGTTTATGTCTTAATGCTTTGCACCTATTGTAATTAAGCAGAGATAAGTTATGATTATATATTTTGTATGCTGTTTTGTTATACTTTTCAATAAAAATTTGTTTTCAAGGACTACTTTAGATTTTTCTGTCGTGCTTGACAGGCAATTTTCAAATTATAAAAAAATATTGTTATTATGAACCAGTATTTGTAATCAAAATAGAAAACATAACTCATTTAATAGTTGGCCTAATTTTTTAAGAGAAAGTGGAATTATGAGAGGCTGTAAAAAGAACAAAAAGAAAAGTCTCTGTTTGATACCAACCATTGCCATCAAGATAAAAAAAGTTAATGAAAATCTGGTCAGTCATTTTTAAGTTACACGTGAACAGGCAAACAAAGTGAACTTTCATGCGAGCTCTGCAGGGATATGAATGCACATGAAATTGGCCACCCCAGTGATCTAGTGGTTGGCATATTGGCTTATTATTCCAAAGGTCTTGGGTTTGACATAATCCTTGTGTCAGAGACTTGGAATGGGCAGCAATGATAGGGGGGACCAGGGTCTTGGTCAGCCCCACCTCTCATACCCTGGCAGGCAGTAAACAGAATTTGTCCTTTGACTTTTGATAATGGATAGGGATTTCCTTGGTTGGAGTTACGTTACTTACTTAGTATTCAGACGGTACTGGTTTGATCCCAATTTTTTACACTAATATAAACCCAGAATTTGACGTTTGTGTATGGCTGGAAATCTTTCCACCATATGACGTAACCAGAGCAAAGAAACACAAGCAAATAATCATGTAAAGTGCCTGTTATTGTTGACCAATTTCAACCAAAATTGAACATGACATTATAGTTTGTCACAAACTCCCCCCAGTATAAAATTTTTTGAAAATCGGTTCTCGAGTTGTGACATATGGATAACAAAAACAGTTTTAGTATGTGCTCTACAGGGGTGCAAGTGGACCCAAAGATAATTCTATGTTGATTTGTTCAGAGGGAGATGAAGTGGGGAATGGAGGATAGTACATAATGAGGAGCATTGTAATTTATACTACTCACTGTAGAGGGGTTTGTAATGGAAAACTACACTAATGCTAATACTAAAACTTTGGAAAAACTATATGCAAAATTTTGCTGAAAAATATGTAGTTAATTTTCTGTGAGATGGCAGTTAACATAATGACAAATTTTGGATGAATTCTTTTTTATGCATTGAAAGTTATAAACATGTGAGGCAGAAGATTGCTGCCTCCTGGGTTGTTGCGCCGTGTAGTCTGGTAGATGTTTACTGACGTTTTAGAGGTCCTTGCTGCCTCCATCATCAGGGCGATGATGATGTGGGCAGCAAGGACCCCTGAAATGTCTGTAAATTTCTACCAGTCTACACGGCTCAACAACTCAGAAGACAACAATCTTCTGACTGACCGTAGTGAAAACCTCAAATCCAACATGTGAGGAAGTTCTTCAATTATTGTAATTTTATAATTTTAATATTGTTATTGTTCCAGAAGAAATTTTACAGTAAGTTACATAATTATTGAAATTTGTGCAGTATTATGCTACTCTTATAGAACACTTCAATACCGCCTGGCTCTTCCTTAAACGCCTTGTCAATGTGTAGTCCTGCTTTTTCTTCAGCTGAGCGCTTCTGTGTATCTGCCTTGTTGGGCGTATAATTCTTTACATACACAGGAATATATTGAATGGAGAGATCAGATATTCCACACTCATTTTCTGTGTACTGGTAAATAAAATATTCTGGCGATACTGTTAGTTATGAATCCATAGGCAAACGCTTGACTGAATGAAAATTATTCTTGTCAGTAATACATGACATGACAGTTTTAAATGAAGTGATAAACAGCATGCAGTCTGGTCTATTTAGTGATGATACTTAACTTTCATATGCTAATAGCTTCACTGCATATTGGAAGAGGTACTTCGCATTTTGTGTAAGAGGTAGAAGGGACAGTCAAATGATGTAGCAGCGTTGCTCCTTTTCTAAGTAAGAAATTGTTGTCACTGCATGTGCTCTAAGAATTACTGGAAGAATGAAATTTTGCCCTAAGTTCTTTCATTATGTTTAACCCTTTTAAAGCTCAATGGTAACTGTATGTACCACCACCTTTTCAGCCAACTGCATTTTACCCGTGGAACATGAACAGCAATCATTTCCCTAAGCAACATTAAGCAGTTGATCTCAGTAGTTACTGATGTGTTTCTACAAACAAGGCATATTAACAGGCTGTTGATACAAGAGGGCTACAGATTATGGTTGACTTTCATGTGACTGAACCATGTGTAATTAAATACTTACAGTTGTATGTACATCACTCAGCGTACAAAGAAATTTTGTGTTACGTGCAGATTTTAAAATTATGGTAGTTGAACTGTACCATTGTGCCATTTCAGGTGTTCCAAGAGGCAGCACTTTGCCTTGTTTTATGTTTAGGTTTGAAAAAAATTCCTTTCTAAACTATTAATTTTGTGGAAGTCTAAACCACGTAATTTGAGGCTTTGGATTTTCCTAATTGACCACCTCTCTAGAAGAACCATCAGAATTTGAACGTGAGGCAGCGTAGCTCAGTCAGTATAGTGACTGACTGCAGACTGGACTAGCGGGGTTCGATCCCCGACTGAAGCAGAGGATTTTTCCTTGCGTCCAGACGAGCTCTGTGGCCCACCCAGTCCTTTCTCCGGGGTAAATCGTGGCCGGGGTGTGATGCTGACCACTCACCCCCCATCTAGTGCCAAAGTTAAGAATGAGTAGGAGCTATACCTTCTCTCCCCCCAAGCTCTTATTCTTTTTTCATGTTGTATGAAATTTTTCATTTTTCTGTGCTGTCATTTCACCTCTGCCTGAATTATTGCTACCACCAGAATCTGTTAAATGAGTATTTTTATTTACACAGCTCCTTTCACTTTCTTGAAGTTTTTCTTTCTATGCGTCAGTCGTGACTTTGTTTTAGTGCAAAGTGTTGACTTTTCTATTGACTCCACAGTTTTATTCAAGATAGAAACAAAATGGGTGTGTTCAGTTTTGAAACTGCCCAAGTTGTCAATTTTGTTTGTCTTGTTCTGAGCTTTAAAAGACGGCGCTTCACTTCGAAAGCTTTCAGGCAAATTTACAATAGTTTTCCTACATTTATCGCAGATTCTTTGATCTTATACTAAGAACCTTTTTTTATCAACCATGCAATACACGTCTCAGGTATTTCTTGGTACTTGCACTGTGACTGACATTCAGGGGATTGCAAAACTCGTTTAAAATGTTAGCTTTTCGACACCTGTAGCAGTTGCGGCTATTTTATTATAATTGGCAAAAATAAAAATTATTTTTGCATTTGACAAAACCACTACATAACTCGCTACGCAAAGAAATGTAACTTAACTCTGATGGAATCGGTTGTGAACTGAAGGGCTGGATGGATCATGTTGCCCTGCTGCATGTCTATAGGTCACACCATGACCATCATGCCTACCATTCATTGTAGCATTAAACCATTAGAACGAATGTTCTTGTCACTGTTATGTCCCTATTGACACTTTCCAAAGGTTTATTGAATTAGTTGCTGAGTGTTGTACGAAAAACCTGGATGTGTTGAACAGCCAGTGAAGACATTGATCATGTGCACTTAATTCTTACTGATAAGAATGATTTACAGCAGCTTTTACAAGTAACATATACTACATTTATGAGTACGTTTAGTATTTGTTCAGTATTATCTTTATCAAAGCAAACAAAATGAAAAATATGTGATCTAAAAATACGTTGCTGGGTGCCAACAGTTTGATAAACTGTACAGTAGTGCTCTTGAATGACGTTTGCGGCTTGCTTTATGCTCCACGTCCTTTCTTTTGATGAGATAATTGTACTGTTTGTTAGCAAGAGGTTATTATTGCATGGTAATTGAACATGGTTTACTGAGTTTAGATAAATAATACAGGAAGACGTGGTACAGTTTAGATAATTTTTAAATCTTTTTGGTTCTCAGGTCTAAAAGACATTACTTCTTAAAACAAAGACTTTATTATAAAAAGTATTTATTACCCTCAGGAATCTGTATCAAATTTAAGTTTAAAATTAAATGGATTCAAGGAAGTTTTTTGATTGAAATTGAACCACACATGGTACAATGTAATATAGTATTGATTAAATATGTCTACCATGCATGAAAGTCCTTTACCTAAAATTATACTTGCAAATAGTCTAGTCTTCTTCTTTGAGTGACTTTACAGAAAGAGTCGAGTAATTCATTAACAAAATCTTTGGGTCTTTTAATTGTTTTGTTTTTAATTGGGAACACACTTCCTAGAATCAAGTGTTGGTTTAATAGAAGTTATTTATATTGGTTTTTGTGTTTAGACTTTCCATTCCAAAATTTTTTTGAATTCTTGAATGATGATTTCAGTTTCTTATGTCGTGTGTGTCAGAATTGACATGCCAAAAATGTTGTTGATTTCGGAATACAGATGTCTCACTGTCTTTGACATATTTTTATCTGAGACAAATGTGTCAAATTCAGTGGTTTTTCCCCCTGAGATTTGCCTTTTCCGCTGTGGTAGGCATGATCTGTTTAATGGTCTCTTCCTGTGTTATTTTTCAAACGTGAAGTTCCTTGCTGGCTGTGTTCATTGTCACAGTTGTCTTGTGTAGGTGAAACAATTTACTATTTCCAATCTTATTACTAGCCTGCTTAATTTCATGGAGTTGAAACAGTCTTCGGGAAATACATTTACTCAGGAAAGATGTATTTTTGCAAGGACCTAAACTCTGAGAATATGAAAGTCACTGCTTTACATGTATATGCCTCTGTGAAGAATGAAACAGTGCTTAGTTAGAATAGGTTTTAGTTTTGTGCATTCGTTCTGTGATATTTTTTGTGCTATGTCTTAGGGGCTTAAAATATGTCAGGACCAGTGACTTTAACTGCGCTGCGAGGAGGTAGCTCTATCAGCACAATGTCAGTGTTTCTGCATAAGTAGATAGCTTTAAAATGTGTCTGGCTGTAGAATTGGCAACACTTTGCCTTCATATTTACATTTCTGGAAGGGTTTTAACCAATTCAGAAACAAATTTACATTAATTAAAAGTAAAAATAAAATTAGAAAATTCGGAATGTTAGGTGTTTATTGATTTGCAATGTCATAAGATTATTTTCATTCATGATTACACTTTTCTGTAATAATTAAGGCAATTTGTAAAATATTTGATGATAAATTGTTAAAATATTTCAGGAGCTACTTAATGCAATGCAAGTTTAATTAATAAAATAAATTAAGTCTTATATCGTTGATCAAAATTGTACTTCTGGCTGAATTTGTACTGATTTTGTGATTGTAATTGTACTTTAGCATTACTTTAAATTCGTGTCACAGAATATTTGTTGGAGAAAGACGAGCATACCTCTAACACAGGTTACATGATTTCCACTAGCCATACCTGATACCATTTGGTTATTACAATTTGTTTTGTATGCTTTTTCCAGCGGATGTTATTGACGTTTTTGACACTTATAAGCCAGTGAGGCATGGGTTTATAGAGGATAATACTGCTAGGTATGAAGGTAGCTATGAATATATTGAATAAGTATTTGCAGGTAGGTGAAAAGGGCTGATCATCCAGCTAGGGTTGGGCATGGTTCTAACAACTCCTCACAGTATAAAACAAGTTATGAAATGTTACACAGGTCCTCAGACCTAAGAAATGGAAAATGGGCATGAAATTTAGAATTTGGACTGTCAGAAGTCTCTACAGGACAGGTTCTTTGAAAACAATATCAAGAGAACTAGTAAAATGTTTAGTAGGATTTGAGGTTTTCATGGCGGTGAGTCAGAAGATGGCTGTCTTCTGGGTTGTAGCGCCGTGTAGTCTGGTAGAAGTTTACGAACATTTCAGAGGTCTTTGCTTTCTCCATCATCATGGCAATGAGATGTAGGCAGCAAGGATCTCTGAAATATTGGTAAAATTCTACGAGACTACACGGTGCTACAACCCAGAAGACAGGTATAAAAATGTAAATTAGATTTAGTGAGAGAACAAGAAGTTAAATGGGATAAGGGTGGCATTAAACCATGCCAGTAAGGGTCTGGAGATTTGATTAAGGGAAGCATATTCAGGCTTTAAAATTCACATCAATTTGTATAGTAAAAAAATATATCTTGTTTTCCAATTATGTTTAAATATGCCGGGTCTATGTGCTACATTAAATCTTATTACATTCTTAATAAAGCAAAATTAGGGAATGATTTTAGGCTTTATATGTTGCTTTGTCAGACTTTTTTTAAAAAAAATTGTTTTCTTAAATGCTACTTTACATATTTTGCCACCTTTGCTGATAGGTAATTTAATAGTAACCCAGAAACAGTGAAATGTTGGACACAAATTAGCAAAATTACATGAGATTTACAGCTACACTGTGATAATTACAAAATCTTTGAGGTGTCCATGTTTTATGTTCCAATTATATTGAATCTGGAATGTTTACAGGTTCATATAATCACAGTCAGTTCTGTTTTTGTGATGTGGAAAAAGACAGCATTAAACATCAATTAAAAAAGACACGCCTGCAAAGAACAATTTCCTGGTCAGAGTCAGTGAAACATTACCAGTTATTTCTCTCATTTGTGGGGTGAACCCATTAGTCAGTGATTTTGGGAGATATTCTCAGTGAAAAAATAAATGAGGGAGTAAAACATTAAAGTGTGGAATTTTCAAAGGTGCAAAGTTTAAAGATCTTGAGGAAGTGTTAGTTATTGTAACAGATGAAGCAAATGTGAAAAATGGAACTAATGACGTTATTAAGGAACAGTGTTACGTACTTAATACAGCTGATGTGCATGACAAATTTTGTGCACAAACATTGATTTTTATTTTGCTCCAGAGATCTTGTAGTAAAGATAATTATTGTAGAGGCCAAGCGCAAAGGACTGATTTTGGTCGTATGAGATGGACCTGTCTGAAGCACGCGCTAGAGGGGTGTCAGCTTCAGTTGGTTTGTAGCTCTATCTGTGTTTAAATCAGTGCGTCACTGCAGCTGAGGCTGTGCGACCCCCACTACTACTGAATTCCCCTCTCTTGACTTACACATCGCGCATTTAGGTGCCAACACTACTCGCACGACCTATTTCAGATGGTACTATTGCATATGTTGTGTTCAGACACATCCATTGTAGTTTTGACGCTTTTTACCCTCAAGGTCCTAATTAAAGTATTTCTCATATCATGTGGCACTTTAAAACACTAACAAATAAAAACACACCCAAAAATAAAATTCAGTTAACCACCATTCTTGGTTTAATACCAGTATTAGTGGTGGACAATGTGGCACTCTGACAGGATTAGACTATACAAGAATGATGCAAAAGTGGACATTTAACTTGGTTTTTGTTAATGAAAAGTATATGCATAACAAGATTTCCGTCAATAAGAAACCTGAAAATTCTGTTAGATATATTTAAAATAATTTTTTATGCAAATACTAAAGTTCCTGTAGATCAAATGCCAGCTTAGACAGATAGAATTCATGTTCTGTCAATATATTAGTGTCATGATTTGTCTGGACAAGTCTTGAAGACATACCAGACACAGAGTGGCTATGTTGATGAGTACATTGATTGGATGCCTGATGAAAAAACTTCCTCGATAGAGTTAATAACTGATTTGTGTTCTATAACTAACTAAGTAGCTGGCTTAGGGAACACAAAGGTTCATCACCATATTAACCAAAGCCATCCACTGGTCCCTGCCTGGGCCAACAAAGTCCAATCGCCTTCAACTCCTATCTCCCACAGATCCTGTCTGAAATTATCCTCCCACCTATGTCTAGGTCTCCCCAGTGGTCTCTTCCCTTCAGGCTTCCCAACCAATACCCAGTGCACACCTCTTGTCCCATCCATGCGCGCTACATGCCCAGCCCATCTCATTCTTCTCGACTTAATCACCCTGACAATATTGGGGGGAGGAGTACAGATTTTTAAGCTCATCATTATGCAGTTTTCTCCATGCCCCATCGCCTTCTCTCCTAGGCCCAAATATCCTCCTCAACACCCGATTCTCAAACACCTGCAATCTGTGTTCCTCCCTCAGAGTGACACACCGTGTTTGACGCCCATAATGTTTAAAACCTGGTGCGTGATTTTATTATAGCAGACATTTCTGTATGTTTTATTGTGTAAATCAAGGTTTGTGTATAAATAACCTATTTATAGTGTTAAGAAAACATTTGTTTATTTAACTAGTGAAATATAGCATGCCTGGAATGCATTTCTTTGTTGTTATTCCCCACTCTCAGCATTCATACTGGGTTAACTGTGGAACCAGTTCAACACAGGAAGTAGCCAGGCTCCACTTTATATCATCAGCCAACTCACAAGTATGAGCTTCTACTTATATAATATTTATGACTGCTTATTTTTGTCTAATTGCTGTATAATTTTCACATGCTTCTTGTATAGGATAGATCCATACCAAGATATCTTATTATTTGCACTGATGTTCTAAATCTGCCCACATACTGGCAGTATCTGTGTGAATATTTTCAGTCAAATCTTAAGCGAGCGTCTTGAAATAAGATGATGATCTATGTAAGCTTATTCATCATGAATCAGGCATTTTATTAATGACCATTTTGATGTAATAACTACAACACGGAATGTAAAATAAAATAATAACACTTGGAGAACGGAAATTTGCTCGAAAGATTGCTGTCTTCTGGGTTGTTGCACCGTGTAGTCTGGTAGATATTTACCGATGTTTCAGAGGTCCTTGCTGCCTCCATAATCAGGGTGATCATTGCCCTGATGATGGAGGCTGCAAGTACCTCTGAAACGTCGGTAAACCCCAACCAGACTACACAGCGCAACGACACAGAAGACAGCCATCTTCAGACTCACAGTCGTGAAAACCTCAAATCCTAAACAGAAATTTGTTGTGTGTCCCATTGACACATTCTTACTTAAATATCGGATTTTATTTAAATTGTGGCTGCTGCCGATGCTTATACAGTAGATTCCAGTTAATTGGGCCACCGGTTAAACGGGACAGCCGTTTATTTGGGACAAATCTTAAAGAATAAACCTTTTTAACTCTTTACATGAAACTTCGCATAATTGGGGCAGCCGCTTAGTTGGGCCAAAGTGTTTTAGTCTCCATGTGTCCCGATTAACCGGAATCCACTGTGTTTACATGTGCATTCTGCTTTCTCATAATGAGACGATCTGTAGTAATGAAACTTCTATTATTTGTTTCATAATGTGATTGCTTTGCCAGATTAAACCTCTTTGGTAAAAATTAACTAGTTCATTAATAAAAATGATGTGATATTGGTTATGTTTGTATGTGTCTGCTTGCTTGCACTCTCTTTTTTCACCACGTTGCTGTCATTTGTTGTGTCGCTTGTACATTAGAGTCGGTTGCTTCACATTCTGATTAACTGGTGAGAACTGATGCCTTGTGAAGTTACAGAAGAAAACAAATTTGAAGTTTTTTTCTTGAAAGCTCACTGTTTTTTTAGTTTTAAATGTGATTGGAGTGAAAGTTAATGTTAGGAGTATCTTATAATTGTAATTCTACAAGAATCTGTTTTTGTACTTATTTATAAAAAGGGTGATGAAAGAGTTAATAGTAGTTTTGAAGAATTCTATTTACTTCATTTGGAATTTTTTCCAATATTATTCTGGCTGTATTGATTCTATATACAGATTAAATTGTTATGGAATTTTAGTCTGAGTTCAGTTGTAATAAATCAACTATGGTATTCAGATCTTCGTATTTTGTCAGTTACTCGAGAAAGAAATGATTATGCAGTGATGCAGAATACAGGCTATTTGTAGAAATAAGTATAAATTCGAAAGTAGTGTGGAAGATTCTCTCACTGACTTCAGTCCCCATTCCCCCCAAAATATAATAATTATATTAATTAAAATGTGTTTGAGTGTATTGCATAATACAGTTTAATATACATATATATTTAATGTATTATTTATTACCTGGTCAACCAATCCATTCGACCATCTTTCTTCCCACTGTAGTGAGGGCTGGGGTCATCCACTTTCCACCAACCCTACATACAAAGACAGATGTGTTATGTTTTCCACCTCAAAGGGGATGTGACACTATGCTACCGCGTTATTTTGAAGGCTGTGGCCTGCAGTAGTTGCAGGTAACAGCAAAGGGTTGATGAAAAACTGTTTCCCCCTTCCACTTGAAATTTGGGGGCAAGTGATCAGATTATGTAGGATTTGAGGTTTTCACGGCGGTGAGTCTCAAGATGGCTGTCTTCTGGGTTACTGCGCTGTATAGTCTGGTAGAAGTTTACTCATCGCCCTGATGATAGAGGCAGGAAGGACCTCTGAAACGTCGGTAAACTTCTACCAGACTACGCGGCGCAACAATCCAGAAGACAGCCATCTTCTGATCAGATTATGTTTTCATCTGACATGAAGTTGCTTAGCGATTTACAAAATCTAGAGTCCTAGGATTGCACAATATATTCAGTACTTTAACTTCTAGACTCTTAAATTAATACACTATATTAAACGGAACAAAGAAATCTTGTTACCTAGAGAAAGGAATAATATAAATTCTGAGTCTGTGCATGCCGCACCAAAACTGTCCATGGACCATTGTGATCTGCAGGCTAAACTTTGCATGGCCCTGTCTTAAAGGTTGTTTTTAATTGTTTATAGTGTTTTTCAAGTTTTAACTAAAACCATTCTGCATGAAACGTGTTACAGGATTACATTTTATGTTATAAAATGGTTATAAATAATTGAAATGTTGATGACTGACTTCTGGGTTGTAATGCCATGTACTCTGGTAGAAGTTTACCAACGTTTCTGAGGTCCTTGCTGCCTCCATCATCAGGACAATAAGTCACTCATGTAGACTTCATGGCGCTACAACCCAGAAGACAGCCATCTTCGTACTCACCGCCATGAGAACGTCACATCCAACTGATGTTATTCAGTGGTGTTTTGAATAAGCGATATGGCTATTTGTGAATTAAATTAGATAAATTTTTATAGTCTGTGAATGTAATTCACATTATGATTACAGCAGTTTCTGGAAGCTAGTGGTATATTAAACAAAGACCATTTTTAAAGTTGTAGTATTTTGAGCAGCATTTCCTTATCATAATCTTATAACCTGCATTTCTCTGAGCCCTTTGTACCACTTTTTAAATTTTTACAGGTGGTTCATGAGTTATCCTGTTCTTCAAATCATAATTTGTGTGCTTTGTACAGTTATTTGGTTTTGTTTATGTGTGTATGTATGTATTTTGTTTTCAGAGTTTGGATGGCACAAATGCTTTTCTTGGACAAAGGAAGTTGGTAAGTGACTGTTTATTTAAAAAGTATGTCAAGGTTTTCTAATAAAATCGTGTGTACCATGTTACAGAAAAACAATATTGAAACAGTAAATCTTCCAAATTTTTCTTTTTCGTGTTTTAAATATAATTGAAGGGGGGAACTTTTTGTGTTTAAGAAAATAGATTGCAAGCATGAGGATCTAAATTTGGTATAGAAAAAGTATGTTTATATTTAAATTTCTTGTTTCTGAGTGGGAACAAAATGGAAACATTTTACAGTGGAAGGTAAGGTGGGTGGAACATGTAGTAAGCATGGAAAAAAATTAGAAGTGCATGTGTTATGTTGGTCAGTGAACATAAGGGAAAATATAACTTGGAAAACCAAGGCATTGATAGAATAATGTGAATCTGCAACAATTTTTAGGAGAGAAAACACTTCTGTTATAAAAAAATAGTTGTATTTATCATTATTAATATTATCATCGACATTCATATTATTATTATGTATGATGTGACTGCTTCTTTAGCTTCACATCTGCCTGACGTGTTTCACTGGTATAAGTATAATTCACAAATTCTTAAATATTTTAGCTACAGTAGTATTTTTCGTTTAGCGAACTGCAGCAACAAAATCAAGAAATGTTTAACTGCAAGTTTTACTTTAAGGAATAGCTGAAATTGTAACAGATGTTTCATTGTTGGCACAAAGTATGAGATCATGAAGCCTTTTATTTGTCTCAACTTACATATTATAGAGGAGCACAGAACAAAAGGTTGATGCATCGCTGTCCACTGTTCGGCAGAGAATTTTTACAGTAGTTGGGCAAGTCCATTAGACGTAAACAGCAATGGGATGGTAGGGGTTGGGATGGGGTAGCATACTTCCTGTATCATGGAAATATTCATCAGATGAGATAGTGTCAATTTCTTTGATATAGGAGAATCAGGAAATGTTTCCCTGAACTCATTCGGGGAAGTTCAGTAAGAATGAAATGCCAGATACTATGTAGTCTTGTTTGACAGTGAAGATGAGTTGCATTTGTGAAAGAAACATCCTTGTTGTTCAGCTGTTTTGAAGACAACTGACGGACTATTGTACATTTTACAGTGTGACATGACATAAGCGGGCTCTTGTATAGTCGAAGGTATATTATATGTTCATTACTCAAATCAAATTATATTTAATTGCGGCCTTCTGTAAATATTTTAATATGGGTTGCATGACTTTTCAATCAAAATTTCTGTTGATTATGAATTAGTATGGTGTGGAAACAGAAGATTTTATTGGAAAACATGACGCAGTAAATGTCTCATCTTTGATGCATGATATTTCAAGAATAGGAAAGTTGGAGACAGTCAAGAATTTTATTACATCTTAAAAACAGTGTAATTTTCTTCATTAATTTAACACAATGGAACTGTTGTTGTTTCTGTTCCTTTATAATTTGCACAGAGAATAAAATATCTAGGTATGAGCTCAACAATTACATTTTATTCATATGAATTTTTAAAACCAGGTATTTAATAGGCTTACTTGGTTTAGAAGCATGTAGTTTGTAACTGTGGACATGGGAGGAAATGCATTCTTATTTTTAAAGTTTATACCCAGAGAAATTTACTGATTTCTAATTTTAAACTTTCCAGCTATTTTGAAATATTGGTTTGGGTTTACTTTCACTTTTACAGTTTAACACAGTCCACGCTGTATCAACTTGTGGAAAGGATCAGTTAAATTCTAATTGGTGGAATGCCATTACAATTTGTGTAATTGAGTCTCATTTTCTCAAGGTCTTGGATCATTAACTTGAAGAGTGTAATGCAAGGTCATTTATGACGCTGCTATGTCAAGAAGCTTAGAATAAACGTCTGTTATAATGTAGACCTATTTGGAATATATATGCCTTATGAAATGGCATATGAGCCATACTTGGAGAGCATTTTGGTTTCATTGTTTGATTATTTTGTTTTCTGTTGTTGTTATTAACAGAGCTTGGTTGTTATTCTTCATACAACAAGTTCTTATTGTATATGATGTGAAAGTATATATTCTATTTAAATATCTATAAAGTGCTAAAATTTTATAGCTGTAAATTTGAAGCTTGTGCCCGTTGAGATTGTAGTGGGAGTTAGTTATACGCATGCTACACTTGGAATTATCATGCTGTAGGAATCAGAACGCTCATCCTCTGTCATGTTCAGAATATGACACTGTTTGGCACATCCGCAAGTTCTTGAAATTCACAGTAGATGGCATTCTTCAGTTGCCTCCAGAGGTAGCGAGCAGTGTCACATACTGAAATATTTTGAGAGTTAATAAATTTGGTATTTGTAATTCAATATAAGAGGACTCAAAGGGCAGGTGTCGGCTCAGTAACAATGAATTTGAAGACATTTGTTGTAGTTTGATGCCTCAACAGCCTTACAGAACATGACCTGCAGAATTGCTTTCAACATTGACAGCATCGTATGCAGCAGTGTGTCAACTTAGAAGGGAACTATTTTGAAGGCGATTGTAGTTGATTTTCTGAATTTGTTAAATAAAAAGAGTTACAGGCACAGTCTCGTTTTTTTTGTGGCAGACCTTGTATAATTGAAAGGTAGCCTGTATGTAGTTGTGTTTAAACATATTGTAAAATTTGCTGTCTCAGGGAACTCGTTGCATTACACTACACTCTTACTGAATAGTACACATTTTTAGCTTTGTTTCTTTTATTTTCTGGTTTGTCTGTTTAATACAAGTTCCATTTTAGATGGATTTTACTGTGGCGATCACATCACAAGGAAAATATTGAAAATGGTATTTAAATAGAAAACCTTATGCAAGATATTATGTGCCATAATTTAATTATGAGTACTAAAATGTACAATGTAAACAATCAAAAGTGTTCTTTAAACGGAGATGATCAAAACTGAATTAAAGGGACATTTTGTTTTCTTCTGAAGATGTCTGTAATCTGATCTCGAGAACAGAGAGTTAAATGTAATATAAAATTACCTTTGATAAAATGGGGGGGGGGATGATAACAATAGACAATAGGCTGTTTGAATTTTTTCTGCTCATAAATATGCATTTTGTACAGTGATTTTGAGGTGTTTGAAAAAATGTTGTGACGTGGGAGGAATCTAAACTCGGCACTTGGACAAAACGGTGCAGAATACTCTAGTGGACTGTTGATAGAAGTTAGGACAGAAACAGAGAGAATAAAATAAGGAGAACACTAAAGAAATTGAAAATGTGTCCTGCTCAGTGAAATATAAGTTCTTGTGTGTCTGTTGTGCATTATATTTTGTTTAGAAATAAGTATCCATGTTTAACAGAATCCTGTCTGCAATAGAAACTTGTTAAGTCTATTGGTATTGAATTGTAACCAGGTTATTTTTGTATGGTTGTCTATACTTATGGTAAGAATTGTCTGAATCTTTAATTTTACTCCTCATTAAACAGCTTTGATCCAGGTTCAGCGATTAGAACTTTCACAAACTTTGAGAGCATGTTCTTTGTTTTAGGATTCAAAGACTTCTGGAGCCTTGAAGAAGTCTAGTCGCTACAGAAGCCGTTCCTTGTCTGCATCCTCGACTGATTCGTATAGTTCAGGTGTCTGTCGTCATGACCATTTATAAAAAAGTTGTCACGTAAGAAGGTGTAACAATCTGGAAACATGTCAGTCTCCAACTACTTTGTGGGTTCGAAACAAAAATTTAACACCTTAATTATTGTAACAAAGTTGGGTTAAGATGTTTGCTGCCACGTCAACCAAGTGCATGACTAATTCCAGGAGCTGATATATCTTTAGTCTACCAGATATTATATGTAAAGTAACTTTAAAAATACCCTGTGGCATTTGTGTGCATCATCAATAAATTAAGGAATTTTCTGGGCACTGAGGACATTAGACAATAGAATCTTGTAAGATTTGAAGCTTTCACGGCGGTGAATCTGAAGATGGCTGTCTTCTGGGTTGTTGCGCGGTATAGTCTCATTGCCGTGATGATGGATGCAGCAAGGACCTGTGAAATGTCGGTAAACTTCTACCAGACTACATGGTGCAACAACCCAGAAGACAGCCATCTTCAAATAAAATCTTTCCATTGGTCATTTTTCGTAGCGTAATTTGCATTGTTTCTTGTCATTTTCCATTTTTTCAAACCCAGCCAGCAGATGATTGTTGCGTAGGTGACTTGAGTTTAATTGTTGTAGTGCATGATGACAAGTTCTGAAAGACCTCGGCCAGGATAACTGGTCTCTGGGCTGAGATTCGAACCTGGATCTCCTGAATACAAATCATGACAGCTAATTACTCAACTGCGATGTTGAGTAAGATTTATCATTTGAAATATGTGTATTCCTATTTCCTTTCATCAGTAACTTGTTTTCCTATTATAAAAATAGTACAATATGAAGGCATTTAATCTTGCTTATGAACACCTGATATATTTGTATTGTTGTATTCCTTTTGCCTTTTTTACTGTTTGACCTCGGTTCTTAGTTGTGTCAACTGTAACATCTTCAGATGCAGGCATGATGAAGGAAGCATGTTTTGTCCCTTCTCCTTGTGCCGCACCATTTTAATATTGAAACATTCACCCTTTGAAAGTTTTGATTAGAAACTTATGTGGTGTTTCCGTTGTGGTGAACATGTAGTGTTGGTACACAGCAGTAACTCTAGATAATAAATTTCATAAAAGTTACCTAAGTAGACTGAGTGTCCAACATTTAGCTTTCTATCCATCAACTTCAGAACAATATTAGTAGCGTGTTTGTTATCACCTAAATTATCTATGTTCCCTGTGTAGACAGTTGGGTTCTGTCAGCATATATGACTGTATTCTATATTTGTGCCTCTTATATTTGATATACCGTTTGAAAATTAGTTATTTCCCCAGATTATTGATTTGGGAAATAATATATCCTTTCCAAGGTAGTAAACCTTATCAGTGGTTTTGTTGAACAGGTCTACATACATACATCTTTATTACATTCCATGGATCCATAAGTTAGTCAGATGACAATAGGATAATAATACAATACATGTTATACAAATACAAGTCATACTATTATATAAATGTCACAAAAATACAAACAAAGGGTTCACATGAAGTAGAGATAAGTTACAAATAAATCCACCCGTTATATACAATAGATAAATTACGACTTGTAAACATTAGAAATTCATCGACAGAGTAAGAAGACCTTCTGGGATTAGTACCTGAGATCATAACCAGGTTTAATAAAGAGGCTTTATCTTCACTAATTGATCATGAGGATTGGTTTTCTCAGTTTTTGCAAGGCATTGTCGAATGAGGAGAATGCGATTTTTACTCATATGTGAAGGAAGACACTGCATATTGACCAGCAGACTAACACATTTTGATTGTATCTGTATGAAATACAAGTCCTGAATACTTTAATTTCTGCTACAGTGGCATCTTTGCAGTCATTTATTCTTGATTGCCCCTCAAGTCCAGAAGGAAATATTTTTTTCGGCAAAGTATTAGTCTCTCTTACCAACAGTTTGTAGATTGTTTTGTTGGCAAATATGATAAAAATGTATTGAGTCATTATCAGGAATAATTCGGTCTTTAGTCCTTGTACACCAGTAAATTAGACTTTCATGGTGTAGGATCCATCTGACAGAATATGGTTTGAGTAGCAGAAATAATTACACTTGTAGAAGTCACCTTATAGGGTGTTGAGGATATTTAAGCCTAGGAGAGAAGACGATGGGTTCTGGAGAAAACTACATAATGATGAACTTAACAATTTATACTCCTCCCCCAGTATTGTCAGGGTGATTCAAGTCAAGAAGAATGCGATGGGAGGGGCATGTAGCGCACATGAATGGGACAAGAGGTGTGCACCAGGTATTGGTTGGGAAGCCTGAGGGCAAGAGACCGCTGGGGAGACCTAGACATAGATGGGAGGGTAATGTCAGGAGGGATCTGTGGGAGATAGGAGTTGAACACGACTCGATTTTGTTGGCTCAGGACGAGGTTCGGTGGAGGGCATTGGTTAGTTCGGTTATGAACCTTCGGGTTCAGTAAGCCATCTACTTAGTTAGCTAAAGTCACCTTTCATTTTCAGATTCAGTGTTGCTGTCGCTTTCACTGGAATTTCTGAGTTTGCTTTCAATATTATATAATACTGTTTTGTATAGATTTAAAATTACATGGTCCTTGCAAATTTTTATTGGGGCATGGGGTAGTTTTAGTTATAAACGACCTGGAGTATAGTTATGAGAATTGTCAGTTTTATCTCCAGTGATTTGTGCAATTAAGAAATTGCCACATTTAACCAAACCAAACTTTTGCACAAATAATTTTAGCTTCAATTTGACTGCCACTGTATTAAGAGGGAATTAAATCGTACTTCTGGCCAGTTCTGACGGACAAAGACCCAGAGACTGTGATGATATGGATATTTGGCTTCGGCACCTGGAGCGGCAGCGAACATGTTAACATGAGCATGATCTTACAATTTAACTACATTTTACTTCTGTGTTTACATATTGCACATTTTAAAATCTTTTAGCTTTTGAATAACTTTTCATTTGTGAGAAAACTTAAATATGTTTTCTCACATTGTGGGAAGAACATAGAATGAAAATATTTGTCGATATGATGAATGTTCGAGGCTATCTGTTGTGGTCGCTGGGCAATATTTTGAACAAATGAGGAGAGTCATTTTTCATGTTATATATGTCACTGGATGGATCAATTGATAAAGTGAATTTTTAGAATTGATGGACTCTCTTTCTCAAAATTTAGTTATATCATAGAAATATTTATTAAAGGTTGTGTGAGCCATCAGTTTCTACAGATGTATGAAACATATTTTACTGTCATTAATATTTGACAATAATTAATTTTTGTAGTAGATAAGTAATGTTTTCCATGGCTGCATAGGACCTCATTACTTGAACTTCAGAGCAAAAGCATATATAAATATTGTTTGTAAAATGTTTTTATTACATTGTGTATTTGTAACTTAACCTAAAATTGCACTAGAGACATCAGGGCTATTGTATGTGTTATGACAATGGATTGTGGTATTTTGGATTATGACACCAAGTAGTCTTGTAGGTAGATACTAATGTTTTGGAGGAACTTAACAGTTGGAGGTGGTAAATATCTTCAAAACATTCATTAATCTTGGCATCTTTAAGAATTGAGACTGGGGGGAAAGGAGGTTAGTGTACTCTACATATGCTCTGCTGAGTACTGGTGTTCAAATTATCATTTCTCTAGTATAGGCACGATACGAGCAGCGTGCTTGTGTAACACTGAAACAAAAACTGCCACACAAAATTTTATTTGTTCACTGCCTGCTTTGCTGTCCCATTTCATAAAACATTTTGTAATGAGCTGAATCAAAATCGCTGTTATGGATTGCAGACGCCAGGTATAGTGATGTGGACAGTAACCATTTAAAGGACAATATGGTGTACCCAAAAGACTATAATCCAAAAGAAAATATTTATCTCTATCAAAATTCCTTTATGTCATTGATGTTTTCAGCTTCTTATACTGGTAGCAGCTCAGATGAGGAGGATGTCTCACCAAGAGAACGGATTCAGAAGAATACATTGGGATTTTCAGATTTCTGTGTGAGAAATATCAGTCAACATGCATTTGGTAGGAGAGAAATTGAAATTGCAGAACAAGGCAGGTTCTACTCATTGACATCTTCATCACATTTATTGGCCACTGTCACATTGCGTTAACACACACACACAGCATTAATATACTCTTATGATGACAATATAACAGCTTCTGTGGATTAACTGATTTGCTCTTTAATTATATTTCGATAAGATTTCTTAGAGACCGTTTTCAGTAATGCAATGACAGCTTTGCTGATCTTGCTATGAAGGAAGTTTATTTTGTAATTTACCTGTTGAAGTAAAAGTTGCTTATGTTTCTGTGTTAAGCATCAAAATTATAAGAAATTTTCTACTTCTTCCTACAGTTTTTTTCTCCCCTAATTCAAAGATATGTTTGTTGGTGATGAGGTGTGATACCATAATTTTGTTTTTCATAAGTTTTCTGTCTTAAAGTGTTTGTGTGTGTGTTTGTTTGTTTCTTTGTTTGTAAGAAATGTTGCATGTAGTAAGGCACAAGAGCTGTAAAGAAATAAAAAGTAAATCATTAAATTTTACATAATAACCATTATGACATTATGCACAGGTTATCATTTAGCCAAGATCGGTATGCCATGATAGAAAATTATTTGATTGCACGGTTTTGTCTCTGAAAGTCATGAAAAATTGTTCTTACTAAACAGAGATGCCGGGCATCATGGCTTTGAGAAGACGGGCCGGAGATGATAAACCACTAAAAAATGCCAAGGTCGTGGGATGCACACACATAAATGCACAAACAGCTGTAAGTTGCAAATAAAATACTTAATAATAGAATATAATCATGTTTCTATGATGCATGCTAATGATCGTCTTGCATTTCAGGTACTCATTGAAACGCTGGCAGAACTGGGAGCTCAAGTAAGATGGGCAGCATGCAATATCTACTCAACACAGGTAATTGCGTCAGAGGAACATTATTGGGAGTGTTGTGGTTGTCGGAATTTGGAGTGTACTCCCTTCTCCTTCCCATTAGCTTCAGTCTTTTAGGCATTGGAACTCATTGCTTACATCATGTGTGTGTCTGTAAGCATGGTGACCTCCTTATAAGTTATTACTGAATGTCATGGTTGAGTGGTTAATACTCCTGCTTCGTATTCGGGAGGTCCCAGTTTCAAATCTCGGCCCGGATACCGGCTGTGCTCTCTGGGGTTTTTCATGGTTTTCTTCAGTCCTTCCAAGCAAATGCTGGGATAATATCTCAAATTAGGTCACGATCACCATTTATTCTAATTCAGTATCATTCTAACATTTGATGCTATATAGTCTGAACTACTGAAAAGGCATCGTTAAATAAACCACAGTTTAATACAAGACTGTCACACATGTTATAGAAATGCCATGGCATTTTCAGTAACCATGTTTTCTTGAATCCTGTTGTGATTCTATCAAATTATGCTGCAACATATTATACGTAGTTTTTCTTTAGACACACCCATATGACCTGAAGCTGGCCCAAAAGGAATGAAAGATAGCCATAAAATATTGTAATAAAAGAAAGGAATTTTTCATCTTGGAATTTGTATAAACGTGTAATTTGAAATAGGGTGATTCTTTTCACATAATAATTAATGTAGTCTTGATTCTTATAAAGCATTTAAAAGCTTACAGATACATTATGTTTTACTGAAACATTTTGAAAAATAAATTTGTTAAAACTGTTTCTTTTCTTTTTTTTAGAAATGAATTTTTGTCAGAAAATTGACAGGCCTGTAAAACATTCTGTTGTTTGGGATACTTTCTTTCATGATACAAGTACGTGAGTGTAGAGGAATAAAAATTTAAGTCAGAAATTTCGTGGGAAAAGACCATGTTGGGTACATAGACATACCAATGAGGATAATATTAAACCAGATGTTCATAAAAATTGGGTATGGGTGTATACCCTGTATTCATCTACCTAAAAATGGGTCAGTTGGTGGATTGTTCTGAACATAGTAATGAATTGTATCAGTTTGTCAAGGGCTTTGCTCCATATAGCGAATTAGATAAAATTAAGTAGATTTTTACTACATTTTATTCTAGGAGTTCTTTGCACACACAAAAAGCTACATAATGTATTTTTAAATGTATATTTAATCACTTATTCATTAAATTAATTGCAGATTCCAGTTGTAGTTTGTCAATTTTATATTTTTTTATTTTGTACAAAAATCTGAATTATTTTACTTCCATTTACAAGAAATTTAAACGCTTCTTGCAGTGTGTAAAATTCAGTGTGGTTTAGCATTCTGGCAACAGCTGACTGATGTAGTGATTTTAGCTTTTTACTAATTTGTTTTTATTTCCTATGACAGAATGAAGTAGCAGCAGCTCTTGCAGAAGCTGGTGAGTATATTCTGATATTGGATTTTAGTTTTTGTAGTTACGATGCCATGTAGTCTTTTACGTAGACGTGGTTACAAACATTTTGGTGTAACATGGTGGCAGTATGTTTTCTCCAAAGCCTTGGTAACCACTTAAAAACTACAAGACATAAACGAGAAACGCACATTCCACATTTTTACCACCATGAAAACCTCAAATATCATACGTTCTGCGCTTGTCTCCCATTTTGTTTTCTGTGTACCGAAATTATTTACAGGTGTTTTATGCTGTTCTCTCTCATTATAACATTGCTGTGACAGAGAATCGAGAGACTTGTTACTGCAGGTTAGGCAGGGGGGAAACTGGACTTAACACAAACATTAATGTATGAGGTGAAGCTTTCGCGGCGATTGAGGTTGATGGAAGATTCTCGGGCTACAAGGCGTGTCAGGTGGCCAAACGGTGAATGTACCATATCTTCTGCCAACGTTTTGAGAACAGAAATTGTTGTCGAAACGGCAAAAGATATGGTTTGTTTATTGTTCAGCCACCTGGCGCGGCTTGTAGCCTGAGAATGTTTCATCAACAAACACTGATGAGCAGGGGGAATAGAGAGGCTTAACATACGCAAGCAGGTGGAGCAGATATTGTGGGACATGTGTCATAAGGGGCACAACACAGGATGAGAAAGTTCTGATGGCCTGAGATTAAAATAAAATGGTTTTAAAGCATGTGATAATCAAAGTAGAATATGATCTTTTAATTACTGGTATATATTACTTTTTGATTACATAATTTTTTGTTTCTAATTTACATATTGTCTAAATACTGCTGTTTCTTTCAAGTTGATTGAGGCATTTAACCTTGTCTTGATTCATTGAATTGAATTCCTTTGTCATGGTATCTTGCACTTACCCAGCCTACCATGTAATGAGTTATGGAAAATGGAGTTAAGATTTAGAAGATAGCTTTTTGTATATGTGTGTGAACTAGTAAGCCATATGAGATATATTCATTTTTAATTGTAATGGTAAATTATAACATTTGTATGCAGGGTAGATATCATAGTTCAGACATTCTTTTATTTATTTAAACACATCAATTTAATTCATAGGATCTTAATATGTTGTGATTCTCTTTGATTTACTGTAGCAGTTTTGGAGTGGTGCGTCACATTCATAATTATTTACTTTTCTATCAGGCTTCTCCATATTTTCGTGGCGTGGTGAAACAGAAGAAGATTTCTGGTGGTGTATAGACAAATGTGTGAATGCAGAAAATTGGCAGCCAAACATGATTCTTGATGATGGCGGTGATACTACACACCTCATGCTGAAGAAATATCCAGCCATGTTTAAGATGATCAAAGGTACAGGCAGAAAAATGTGTTAATTGGATTGGGAGGAAAACTCAAAGATGAGAAAACAGTAATATGTTTGCTGATAACTGCAGTATTTTTAAGAGGTAGAAAATTTATTCCAGTTGGCTGTGAATTATATGTAGGGTTAATAATATTCGATAATTAAATATGTGCAGTTGAGCCATTAATACCTGATCTTAGTTTTGATGAAACTGCTATTAATAAGTTGAAAAAATATCTAAATCTATATATATTGTTCTGATTTTGTTTGATTTAATCCAAGTAGGTTGAAAAATATCTTCTGATCTCCACAAACTTGATAATATTTTAGTCCATTTATTAAGGACACCACATAAATCTTTTAAGTATGGTCTTATTTAGCCAGTCATTTGTTTTCTGTTCAGCATATTTCATGTTGTAATGATAAAAGTTAGATCATGTCCAAAGCTAATTCAGTCCAGTTTACATCATTCATTCCATTTTATCATAATGTAATTATAAAGAATTGTATGAATGTTATATTTGTTTGAAGATTTCTGTCTTCTGTGTTGTTGCACCGTGTAGTATGGTAGATGTTTACCAACGTTTGAGAGGTCATCAGGGCGATGAATGTGCCAATTGAGTGGAGGGGGCTAGGTTTATAGGAACTGGACAGTGAATGGGGTAGCCTGCCCCTAGCCAATGGGAGCAGGTGTCAAATTATGCGTGGGTGGGGACCAATAGGAGCATGTGGGCATGTCGTGGCATGTGTGAGAGAAACGGAGAGAAAGGAAAGAGAGAGAGGGGTCGAAGAACAGCCCTTGTGTGGGCCTCAGGGAGTGCGTCTGGTGGGACATTGGGAGTTGGGCAGAGAGTGTGATCAGGGCCCTGAAAAGGGCCAAGATTTAGTTGTCTGTGTGGGACAGGCGGTGCTCTCTGGAATGCTTTCGGAGCCCTCGAAGAGAGTGAATGAGGGGCTTCCATGACCGGTTCAGGTGAAGCTTAAATGTCGGTAAACATCTACCATACTACACGGCACAACATCCCAGAAGACAGAAATCTTCATACTAACTGCTGTGAAAACCTCAAATCTTACTTATATTTATTTGCTTACATTGTCAGGTATTGTTGAAGAAAGTGTGACAGGTGTTCACCGATTATATCAGTTGTCTAAAGCTGGCAGACTTAGCGTACCGGCAATGAATGTGAATGACTCGGTGACAAAAACAAAGTTTGACAATCTCTACAGTTGCCGTGAGTCAATTATTGATAGGTGAGTGGGGAAAACTTTTAATTTTGTTAAACCTTTTGAATGGCATTGCTATTTGTTCTTTTGCAGTGGTAAGTCGGCTTATGATGTCCTGGTATTTTTCTGTACAAGAAGTTCCGAAAGTCGATGTTAATATTTTCTTGACACAGCGGGTTCTCACATTTCATTATACATGGCTCCTTGGTACTACATAAGAGAATTTACAGTTGTGTGACATAGTGCAGCTTGAAATTTTAAATTCTTTTGGTTCTGTTGAAGTGCGTACCAACGAACATGGCTATAATACAAATGGCTTGTAATTTCAGCTTAAAGAGATCGACAGATGTGATGTTTGGGGGTAAACAAGTTGTGCTCTGTGGATATGGAGAAGTGGGCAAAGGTTGCTGTCAAGCGCTGAAAGGGCTGGGATGTGTAGTGTACATCACAGAGATAGATCCAATTTGTGCTCTACAGGCTTGGTAAGTATTACAGTTTCTATTATTCAATTTATGCTTCTATATGATACATATATGTCTTTCTTGGTTACTTTTCTCCAGTTTCAAAAGTTATATTTGTACTCTGTACAGACACAAAGTTTTATTTGTAGCATGAGATTTAACCCGTCGACGTGGTAGTTTAAATACCCCGCATATACTGCTGTCGTGCTGTTCCTGCGGTAGTATTTTTTAAATGCCCGTTTAAATTTTGCTGTAAAATACTCTTTTTTTCATAACTTTTGAACTATATGAGATATAATTATGAATTTTTCACTGAAATCCTCTTAAAAGATGGTTTTATAATCTTACCTTATAAGATGAGATGTGTGAGCAGTGGAAGCAAGTCGATTAGAAGTTTAGTTTCAGAAAAAAACGGAGTGTACAACAG